CCTTTTTTTTTTTTTTTTTTTTTTTTGTTTGAGACAGGGTCTCACTGTGAAGCCTAGGCTGGTCCTGAACTCACAATCTTCCTGACTCAGCCTATAAACTGCTAGGATTTCAGGCTGGATTACAGGTGTGTGCCATCACCCCTAGCTGTTCACAGTATGTTATTCTGACATATTTGGAATAAAATGAGAGCACTCTGAATGTTTAATTATGACTTCATGGGCTGGTGAGATGGTTTAGTGAGTAAAGGTGCCTGTCACCAAACATGACGATCTGAGTTCGATCCCCAGAACCCATAAGGTAAAAGGAGAGAACTGACTCTCTCAAGGCGTCCTCTGATCTACACACACACACACACACACACACCCTCATATGTGTACACCTGCCTATGTACTTGAACACATGCATACACATACACAAATAAGCGTAAAAAATAATGACTTCAGAGCCACAGCTGATGTGGGCTAGGGATGTAGCTCAGTAGAATGCTTGCTTAGCATGCACAAATGTAGTGGGTTTGATTCCCAGCACTACAGAAAACTGAACATGCATGTAATCCCAATACTTGGAAGGTAAAGGTAGGAGGAATAGAAGTTGAAGTTCATCCTTAGCTACATGGTGAGTTTGAAGTCAGCGTGGGACACCCAAGAGCCTATCTCAAAACAAGTAACAAAAAGAGCCACATTGATGTGACTTGAGAGGCCACAGTGCCAGTCACCATACTGAGTTGGGATGGGGACAAGGACTTGTCCTGTCAAGCAGGCTAGGAGCTAGCCTGGAGTCCAGGCTCCTGATGCTATCCCTGGATCACATGGACTTCTTCCTTGCCCCATCTGGCCTGGAGACTGTATAAGGCAAGATATCAAGACCTCTCCTTCACCTGGGGGCAGATGGCAGAGGACCTCAGGACCCTAAACACTGCTACCCCAGCAGGTATGAGCTGACTCACGTTGCAGCCAGATTGGGCGTCCCCACCAGCGCACACCATGGTCTTCTTCACGGAGAAGCCCCACCAATCCCACCTGGAGCAGTGTTGGTAGTCCACCACGGGCAGCAGGGCCTGCTGGAGCTTGTCAGGGAGAGGCCCACCAGCTGTGGGGATAGAGAGTCCTGCCTGGGGGACCTGGGTGCGCAAGGCTGAAAGCTGCAGAGTGGAGGTGTTCAAGGCAACGAGTTCTGTGGACCTGGTGGGAACTATATGGTCCTGTACCTTCCGTTCTGTGGCATCCCCAATACTAGGCATGCTGTAGACATCCCAAAATAGTCAACTGAACATATTCGGGAGAAGGCTAAAGCTGGAGAGGAACTTGGGACGGTACAAGGACAGTTTCTGCTTGAACCTTCCTCCTTATTACCCCAGTGTCCCTGTGGCCAGCTAGAGGGATCAGCACGTACTGGAGAGACGGCCCCAGCCACTGATGTAGCAGGGTGCGTCGTTGGGCAGGATGTCACCGGCAGGGGGCAGATTGGCAGGCTGGACAGTATCTCCCAGCTGAGCACTTCTGGAGAGCTTGATCAGGGCGATGTCATTGCTGGGGAGGGGAAAAGAGTTGTTCAGAGTCCAGACCTCTTCATGGACCCACTCCCACCTCCTGACTTTTGTGCCTGGGATTTTTCAGCTCCAGCCTGTTCCTTGACTTCCAGATCCATTTATTTATTTGTTTGTTTATTTTTGTGGTGCTGGGGATTGAACCCAGAGACTTGCACATGCTAGGTAAGTGCTCTACCACTGAGCTACACCCCAGTCCTTCCAAAATTCCTTCTGAAGGTGGAGCAACTCTCAGAAGCCCTGCAGCCATATCATCCCAGCTGACCCTTGTCCTTTGCACCTGTGGTTCATGTGCTCCAGCTGTGTTGGCATCATCTTGTGGGATCAGGAACACAGTTGCCCTCCAACCCCAGTGTTTCTGGGCAGTAGATCTGGACTGAGGTCTAAGAACCCACATTTCCTTTTATTTATTTATTTATTTATTTATTTATTTATTTATTTATTTATTTATTTATTTATTTATTTATT